AGAATGCTTAATATGCTCAATACGCACATTGATTCTCTTGGCAAGAATCTTGCCCTTGTTTGTTCACAACAATGCCAACAGCATGCTGGGTAACATTGTAGACTCTTCTAGTTTTGCCATGGTAACATTTGTGGGCATTCCTTTTTGAACAGTACCCATTCCCTTAATGTCTATGATATCACCCTTCTTGTAGATTCCCATATATGTTGCCAAAGGAACAACTCCATGTTTTCTAAAAGGCCTAGAGAACATATATTTCCCTTTGTGTTCGTCATTTTGGTTAATTACTGGAAGATGGCGCTTCTGGCCATAAGGAACCCAGACCCAGCAGTTTCAAAAACATTCAATTGTGTGTGCATGCTTGCCCATGAGTCCTGAGAGAATGGGGAAGGGTGCTTTCTCACTTTCTCTCTGTGTCTCTGGCAAACACACATGCCCTATAGCAAAAATTAAAAAAAAAAAAAACACAAAAAAACAAAAAAAATCTGAAATGTCTGATACCTGTATGTCATTACAAACCAAAGTGATAGGCATGGTGGTTAAGAGTGCTGGATTCCCACATGGCCTACTGTGGTTCGAGTCCTGGACCTGGTGCCTTGCCTTCTTACTTTCCCTGTCTCTTCCCCTCTCTCCCTCTCTGGTCAAATTAAAATAAATAAAGTTAAGTAAAATAATTCATATATGTATATATAAAAGAATTTATATATACATATATGTATATGTATATATATATGTGTGTGTGTGTGTGTGTATATATATATACCGTGACACTGGGACCAGCAGATGGCATAAGCAGTTATGTTGCTGGACTCCCACATGGCAGATCATGGTTAGAGTTCTAGAACCCGCAGCTTGAAAATCATGCTGGTGCGTGTGCCAGCATGCCCAAGATCCTAGTAGAAGAAGGGAGGAGAAGGGATTGCAGTATGGCTATCACCCCCCACACCCCACCGCCTTAGGTGATTTCTCACTTTCCCTCTTACTGTGTCTGTCTGTGACTCTCTCTCTCCCTGCAATGAACACATACACCCTAAGGTAGAAACATCTAAATAAAAAAGGTACCACTAGGCCAGAAGCTGGTGTGGTGGTTAAGACACTGAAATCCCACATGGCTGACTGTGGTTTGAGTCCCAGACCTGGTCGTTTGCTTTCTCACTTTCTCTCTCTGGTGAGTTCACATGCCCTGTAGCAAATTAAATAACAATAATAGTGATGATAAATAAAATTAAATAATTTTTTTTTAAAAATGTATTTTCAGTATGGTAAGAATTCCAAAGGAATATTGTGATGTAAAATTCCCTCTCGTTCCTCCTTTCCTGATCCCAGGGGTTTTTTTTTGTTTTTTTTTTTTCTCCCAGTTTTTTTTTTTTCTTTTTTGAGAGTTTCTTTTTTTTATTATTATTTTTTTTTTTTATTTATTCATTTATTTTAATTTGACCAGAACCAGAGAAAGAGAGAGAGAAAGATTGAGAAAGCAAGCTGCCAGGTCTGGGATTCGAATCGTGGTCAGCCATGTGGGAGTGTCCAGCACCTTAACCACCACACCACCTGCTGGTCCCCCAGGGGGGATAGCCAGGCCACAATCCCTTCTTCTCCATTCTCCTCTCAGGACCTAGGGGATGCACTTATGCACACGTGCCCAGCTTCAGTTTAAGCCACCAGATCCGGGACCCGAACTGTGTTAGACTACATGGGAGTCCAGAGACATAGCAATTACACCAACTGCTGGTCCCCCTACTCCCAGTTTTTATCTCCAGGAAAAAGTACTGTTAGCAGTGTCTTGAGTATTCTTCTAGCGGGAATTGAGAGCTTTTACATCTATGCTTTAACAGGAGGTGGACGTACTATACTCTCTCTCTTTTTTATTTTGGAGAGGTTTTCGCTATAGGGCGCGTGCGCTTGCCAGACAGACAGAGAGAGACATAGAGACAGAAAGCGAGAAATCACCCCCCAGGGGGGATGGTCACTCCGCAATCCCTTCTCCTCCATTCTCCTCTCGGGATCTTGGGCACAACACGCACACGCACCCAGCGTGAGTTTTAAGCCACCGGTCCGGGACGTGACCCGCGGTCGACTATGTGGGAGTCCAGCGACATAGCCATTACGCTAACTGCTGGTTCCCTATACTTCTAAATATGTTCCCTTCACTTTACTTGCTGGACTCTGATCAGGTCCCCGAGTCATCTTGTATAAATCGAACCAATTTTTTAACCTCCACTTTTCTTCTTTCCCCCTTCTCTTTTTTTGGCTAGGAGGACCTTCACCCAGTTCTGATGGACTGTTCTCGGGCTTCTCCAGTCGGGGAGGGGAAGCACCCTCACCTTTTTCTGGAGAGAAACTGTTGACTCTTGAAGCGTAGTCACCCTACCACCTTAGCCTGGCAATGGAGTAAACAGAGAGCTGGAAAGTGCTCCTTCTGTTAGTCTTGGAGGTCTTCTCCAGCTGCCAGCAATCCTGGGCTCTCTGGACGTTTTTTTTTTTTCGCTTTTTTTTTTTTTTTTTTAATTCCCAGCAGGAGAATCTTCTTGGGATTTCTCTCTGCAATTGGGGCACTTTTGCTCTTTCCTTTCTACCGAGCTCTTGTTTCTGCCAGTAGAGATACACGTCTTTCTCCCTCTGGGGCTCTTGCCATATAGGAATATAATCCCCAGATCTCTATTCCCAGTGCCCCGGTCTGTAAGGGATTTTGGGGTGTGTAATCGCTGACGCGAGGAGTTAGCTTGGGCGGGGGCATTGTGGGCTGGGTGAGATCTGGCCAGCCATGTGGTCTGCAGGCTCGGAGGCACGCCGGGATCGAAGCCCGGATTTCCGCCAGCGTCTAGTGGGGCACCCCTCGGGCGGCCAGACTGGAGCCGAGAGCACAGCGCGGCGGGGGGGGGGAGCCGGGGAGCCAAGGCACGAGATCTGGGGCGCCGGGGCCCCTCGGGCAGCCAGGGTGGGACGCGGGGCGGTGCGGTCCGGGGCAGCCG